GAGAATCTTAAGCGGCATGACCTGTCTCAGTGTCTGAATTCTATGATGATAAAATGCATTCATAAAACGCACAAAAGAAACACAGTCTACAGATGTACGTAAGGTTTGCCACACAAACCTACCTCCAGATTGTTGAGATTCAATCGCAGAAATTCCGGCAAGAATAAAGACGGTGAGAAAACCACTCCGGCGACGAAATGCGAGAACCATTTTCCAGCGGTAAAATATGCCTTCTACTCGAGTAGATCAGAAAACGTGCTGGCTACCTTCGCCTTGACGTCAAGCCCTAGAGGGGAATTGAACATTAAATAAGGATGTTAGGAAAGTCAAAACATCTTACATCGGTCAAGCACTAACACAGTGTTTTTGCTAGAGAGATCGAAGGTGCTAGGACTTAACCACAAGACTACGTGCGGAAAAACGAATTAAGAAATTATTCATTCTTCTGCTCCGTCGAGTATCCGGACGATTGTTTGACCGTCGAGACAAAGTTTGACTTTGTAATGAGCACAAACGTTCAGAAAATGAGATAAAAACCACACTGTATTCTCAATAATTTCTTTCTCCTTACCTTGCGTAAATAGGAAGTTGTAGAAGTGGTCTTGTTGGTCTTAACGAGAAGTTAAAGTCATTTCGTTTTCAACAGGCGCCGGATAGATTGTGGCGTGCATTCAATATTAAAAATTCCTTCCACTCGCTTGTTCAGTTGTTAACGCATGAAGCTCTAGATCCCGAGGAAGATGGCGTTTCTGTCGAGCTGCAGAAATCCTGAGAGTTCAAATTGTTCGGGGTTTCACGCCAAAAACCTTGAAATAAATGAAGTTTCGCCAGAAGCCCATGACGGCGAGCGCGTGGAAATTACATGGACACGCTTGGGTGAATACACGACAACATTGAAATTAACTTTTGACAGTAATTCATGACTTGTCAACATGAGACCAGAACACTGATATATTTATTACAAAACTTCCGCTCGAAAATCAAAGAGACTTATTAAAACCGAAAAATAGACTAATGCATGCGTTAAATGGGGCACATTTTCCAATTTTTGTTCTTAACACTTTTAAATACACGTAGCGACCATTTCTCAAAAAAATCTGACATAAATTAACACCGAAAAGCATTTAATTATTTTTGAGCTCGCGTTGGAGCTATAAGCAGCTGGTACTTGATAGTACAAAAAGACCATCGTAATGAATGAATAAATAAAGAATTGTCCCTTTTATTTATTTTAAAAGATTCAAACTAACTGAACACTCCAGGAACATCTAAATGTCCAGCAGAATTTTTTTTTT